ACTACTACTACTACTACTACTACTACTACTACTACTACTACTACTACCAGTACTACTACTACTACGACACGACGACGACGACTACTACTACCACTGCTACAACAACAACAACAACAACTACTACTACTACCCTTACGACGACTACTACTACTACTACTACCACCACTGCTGCTGCTGCTACTACTACTACTGCTACTACTCCTACTGCTACTGCTACTGTTACTTCTACTACTGCCCCCGCCAAACGGCGACAAGTCAGAAATGCTGGCGCTGTGTGTAGCGATGCCACCATTGAAGGCGATACCCATGACCTTATACCACACAGAAGGAGTTTTGACCGTCGCACGTCTGCTTCCATGTCCAAAAAGTCTGCCGCATTGTGAAAATAACCTTTAACATAAGTAAGGTTCAAAACGTTGAAAGCCATAGTACACTCACCAAATTGAAATGTGCAAGGCCCACATAACAAATAAACAGCGTCGCTCATATATGAGAAGCGACATGTGTTCTTTCCAACCAAGTCCACGTTGACCAATTTTTCCAGCGTCGCTCGCGACGGTTCGCCCCACAGAAAAGATTGATGCGCTCTGCGACGTGTTCGGTGACGTGTTCGGCGGTGCAGATCATCGGCATGAGGGGAACAACAACCATGATTCGGTATGTAAAACATTCCAGGGACTGGAAGATTGACGCCCTGGAAGGGACCCACATGGAACCTGAAAACCACTGTGTTGTAGAGGAAGATAGCCGCTCCATTTCGGTCCATTTCAAGTTTCATGTGGGTCAAACAACCCCGGGTGTACATCAACCCTTTTCAACCACCTCTAGGTAAATATGCCGAGACCGTCTCCGAGTGTCTCGGGTTTCCCGGAGTTCCTCTGGACCATGGGTCGTTTCCTGGAGTCTCAGTTCGTACCTCAGACAATGGGTACAAGTACCTGCCAGCAGTCACAAAGGGGTGCTTAATGGAGGTTAGGGGTGCCCATTATCCACTCACTTAGGGACTAAACACCACCCCTTTGTGACTCCTGGTGCTTTTTTATAGGTTCATGTCCCATTTTCTAATTCTAGGGTCACGTCCCATGTTCTAAGGTACTTTAAGTCCAGGGTCCGGGTATGTACCCACCAGGCATGCCTTCAACTATCATACCTTGCGCTGCTTGCGCATCCTGGTTTTGGCCAAGGCCGCAAGTAGCGCGTGGAGATGGATTGATATATTGTTGAAACATCAGGTAATTTCTGTAATCATGACCAATGATTTGACACTTGTTCCTGCTTTCAGATGCAAACTTGAGGCTCAAGTAAGCTTCACTGCTCATGCTGATGCCATTCCCACCTCGACATGTGTCAGGTTAGATGGGAGAGTTTGGTTTTCTTAATAAACTGGTGTTTGGCATGCCCCCTCCCAAGTCTTGTCCGCCATACCCAGTAAATGATTGGCCCTTCCTTTGAAAGCACTATTTACTGCAAAACTGCAACATGTGAAAAGCTCCTGTTTGGTTCATTGGATGTACAATTTTTGGGCAACTTTGTTTTTTGTCCTTGTTTTTTCCAACCAACTGGTCACTTTTCGTTCGGTCGCCTCCCGCTTTTGGGGGGCGAAAAAGAACAGAACCACCCAGCCATCGCTGCCCCCCACCCTGCCGGAGAGGCCGATGGGGTCCTCCAAGGGGGCGAGAGTTTGCGTGCGGCGCGCGGTGTGGGAGTTTGCGTGTTTTGCTCATGTTTCTTTGATTTTTGTTGTTTTGTGTGTGTGTCAACTCCTGTTTCAAAGGACGACCACACCAGGCTAATTCGCAACAGGGGCCTCTGGGTCCACTTTCATGCTGTACTTGTTTTACTTTTTATGTGTGTGTGTGTGTGTGAGCAGAAGGATTCAGCATGTACTTGTATGTCAATGTGCACCCTTCATCATAAGGAGCTACCTTTTCAAGAAGTCTTGCAGAGGGAAAAAAAGATGCTGGGGTCACATTGTTGTCCTTTCTAAACATTTTATAAACATCAATTCAACAAGCTGCATTTTTTTAGATGGGACGTGATCCATATACACACTCACTTTAAGCCTTGTTTTGAGAATAAACATGGATGATCGTATCCTCAACTATCCAACTTGTTCAAAAAATCAAACGAGTCTTATATAATCCTTTGACGATATGCCTAATCATAAACATGTTTATCACAGTGTCCCGCTTTACAAGGCTCTCTCCTTCTATAACGCTGCCTTTCCTTCATAAAATGACTTATGTTTCAGAGTTTCAGAGCACATTTTCTTGATCCAAGTATGCAAGTATCGTCCTTGCTCGCGTTTGTCCCGTTTGAAAGGTCAAATATGTCTTTCTCCTATACCATATACATCCGTATACCCCGAGAGGGCTTCTTTGCAGAACACATTGATGATTGATTCGATCGTATGCAATCACTGCGCCAGCCTAGTGATCAGAACCCTTGCAAAGGCTCGACCTTTTTCACATCCCCTCAGTGGAGTGGAGTAGGTCCTTAGGTGTAGCTTCACTACAAAGGTTAATATATATATATATTAATATATATATACCTAGAACCTGAATGACCTCTATTTTGGACCACAAACCATCCAAAAGATTACGAAAGCCAGCCTTCGTAGAAGGCGCCAGCTGAGTTGTATTTGGCGAACGAAGTGAGTAAGTAGGGGGCCTCTACGTAAACTCGAAATTAGGGGGGGGAGAGGGGTGCGCGGAAGTGAGGTTTTTGAGGTTAAGTTTTTGTGATTTTTCAGGGGGTGGTGATGCGAGAAATACAATTTGCATCATTTGCATCATCTGAATGGTAAGGTGTAGCTGGCGCCTTGCCAGGTAAAGATACCCAGGGTAGCTACAATTCAGCTACCAGGTATTGTACTTCAAGTTCCCTTTCCGTCAACCGCTCGATAACCTTTACACACGCACAGCAATCCACAGCTTTGAAGTCTCATTCGTGCTTTGAACTTTTATAGGTGTGCAAGAGGTGTAGCAACATAGCATATATACGGTATTTACTGCAGCAGGCAGCAGGGCCGCGATGTTGTACTGAAGGTGGACCTGCTACCTGCGACCTGGTTTATTTGGTCCTTCCTTTTGGTGTGGAGTCCCAGAAG